ACAAGTTTTGAAGCTCTTTTCAGAGGAAGCTGCTGCCTCTAAAGCACTGGTAAGCAGCTACCAAATTACATTATGTTGCATCACAGAACACAATAATCTTGATAATCACTGCACTGAGAACCTGATGTCTCACACAGAATTACACAGCATCATGTTCCCAAAAGTTTTAAATCTGTCACCTGAAATGCCAGTCATGTAGGTCCTTTTCAAGAAATTTTCTTAAGAGAGAATCAACACTGCATGGTGTAAGATTTACCATCACACAAACTTACCTTAAAAATTTCTATCATTTTTTATTTCTAATTATATGCCATGGTCATTATCAGGTGATATACACAATCTGTCAAAAATGTATAAAATTATTGAGAGAATAATTATTTACATTTCATCTGACTTACTTTTAAATGGACATACGTATAAAATTGACAATTTCATTCACTGTCATTTCTGAGTTATTAGATGCTATACTTATAAAGTTTATCTAGTTTGAATCTTATTATATACATGATTTATTTAAACCGTCTTCCAGTGCACTGGAAGATGGTTGAAATAAATCATGGACTTAAATCAGTGCAACAGGACGCTAAAATATAACCTTATTATATAACTTAGACAATTCACATTCCCATGCTATACATTCATCTTCCATGCAGAGCCTCTCCCAATAAATCTAAGCCTGACCACAGGTTTATGTTGTAAGTTGATTTTGAATATTCAAAGTAGTCTTTTTGGTGTTTTCCTGTTTGGTGAATAGCGGGGTTGATTAATGTAATACAGCTTTTTTTGAGGCAATGACTGATGTGTTGGCATAGTGTAATTATGTCCTTGAATGCAGCAATCTGAAGTGTAGTTGAGGTGTGGACTCACTCAGCTTATTTGAAAGATTTTTTTAATGGTTACATGATCCTCACCCAAGTTTGTGGCGGTGGTTTGAGGTTGGCCAAAGAGGGGCCTTGGAGTTGAAGTCAACTGGAATGGGCTCTGAGTTGTGGTGGTAGTAGCACCAGTGTTCCCAAATCCTCCAAACCCTCCAAATGGGTTGGCATTGGATATCGTGGTGCTGGTTGCTGTGTTAGAACCAAATCCAGTTCCAAATCCACCGAACCCTGTTGTTCCACTAGGAGGAAGGCATGAGCGGATACCTCCAAAACCAAAGCCTGAACTTGTAGTGGAAGTTGCACCACTACCAAGACTGAAACTAGGAGCTGTTGATGCACCACCACCAAAAGAGAAACCAGTGTTGCCAAATCCAGCTGAAAGAAAATAATGTTTTGAAGTTTTTTATTTAAGACTAAGAAATCAAAGTACACATCTTGAAAAGCAGCTGCTTCACTTTTTTCACTTATATCACCATCAGTATCCCAGAGTTTTATACATATAACTCCTCGTAATCAGGAAATTATTATTATTATTCTCTTATCATTATTATGTTACTGGAAAAAAAATCCTTGCAATGACTGCTGTATTTCTGGCATTTGAACTTCCCTCTCGCTGTGTTTAGTAATTTGAAACTGCTTTTATTTTTTGCTTCAAATAATTAATTATATTTTTCCATATGCCTGACTGACAATATTATTTTTTCTATTTACTTATTTACTTATATCTGATAATGAAATATCAAAGTTCAAATTAATGCACATCCAATCAGAAAACTTTTCATATTCCAACATGCCAAGACAAGTATGAAAAATTATACAACCAAATAGAAAGTATGGCAGACTAAGAAAGATTGCAAGTTTCATCTAGACACCCTGCCATGTTTGTAAGTAGTATACATCAAATTAAATGTTGAGGTATCATGAAAGATACTACAAGTCCAATTTATTTTCATGATACAATATATGTTAAAGAAATAGCAATTAATCAGCTTGACTTTAAAGGTTTCAAAAAAGCAAAAATAAAAATATAAAAACAACTACTGAACATACAAAACATGCAGTACTCCAAAAACATGGATGAAACTGGGTAAAAATGAAAACTCAATACATTTCTTTTATTAACCTATACACAGAGAATGTCATTCTGATTTTTTTCTTTGCAGTGACAGGAGGTTCCTGTACATAGTGCACCCCAGCTAAAGGGACAGTAACTCAAGTTCAGCAGGGATCAATCCTTGGTAAGTCACTGGAAAGTAGTGGGAGCAGAGGAATAATAAATATATCAAAGTGAATGAGGAAACTAAGCTGCTTTATGTCTTACAAAGCATATACAATCAAAAAGAAAAATGTCTCTATACATGGAAAATCTGTGGTTCAAATCCAGAGACCAATTAAACAAACTGGAATTTCACATGGTTTTACTGCTGCTCAGAGTAAATCAGTGTCATAAATGTGAAAACTGAAACCATAAATTAGTATCAAAATGAATCTGTTAGAATGGGTGGCTTCCAAGCTAGTAACAGAACAACTCAAACAAGAAACAAACGTGTTAACATTAAGCCATGGCATTTGGTGCTGTGGCCTTTGTTTCTCTGTTCAAGCATAAGGTGAGATTGTCATAATTTCCTAAGTAACACACAAATTATGCTGACACGGTGTAATTTCCTCACTGTTGTTGCTATACTGTCTGAAATATTGAATAGTACGAGTATTTCCTAAGGTGAAAAGAAAACTGTACATAAATGCTTTGAATCTTAAATGATTACAAATATATCTTAAATATTTGAAGATCATGAAATCATTTCCCATAAATTTAGATATTAATGAATTTTCCTAAGTGATAGCTTACATCTTCTGTTTATTTTAACAGAACTCTTCAGGATAGGAAATGCTTATTTCAGAAACATTTATATACCAAATAGGTTAACTAAATGCTGTACACCTGTATTTGGAAGGTACTCCATTCAAATCTCAGCTGGGACACCACCTGGTCTTTGTGGTTTTCCCTAGTCCCTCCAGGCAGATACCTGGATAGTACCTCTATTAAGCCATGGCCACTTCCTTAAAAATTTTTATTCATTATTCATAAGTTATCCTACTATTTGATACTATATTGTGTGGCTAAAAAAAAAGAAAAGAAAAAAAAAACCTTGCTGATTAACTAGCAGGAAAATGATGTTGTGCAGTACCTACATCTGCTGAGAAGTGGGTTGGTAATATGCAGCCCATCTGTATGCATACAGGCCAGGAAGTGGAACCACAAGAGGAAATATGACACCACAGGAAGTGAATGCCTCTACATCCTTTCTATTGTACTTCATTTGGGCAATCGCATATCTTGAGACCAACAGCTGCCAGTGTGACAGTCCTGTCTCCAGGTATGCATTAATTTTAAGTAAGTAGAGAAAATATAATGTGTAGTGGGCTTTCTATAAATCAAAGTGCCACGTTAAAAAGTCAGAAGTCAGGAAGCAAATTGAAATGGGATTGGAAATCTACTACTTTTAGTTCATTGTTATAAATACATTTTGTTTTCCCATAAATTTCACACTGAGACAAGGGACATCTTCAAATAATATGTAACTCTGGCATTCAGGGTTTAGCCATGTCATATGTTGAACGTTTTCTGATGTTCATAAACCTCACAAGCAAAAGTTACACACCAGAAACAGACCATAATATCCTGAGAATATCCTTAAACACTTAACTCTTGAAAGGCCAGTATTCTTGATCAAAGTAATACATAAAATTCAACTGACTTTGACTTCTAAAGTTGAGTCTCAAATACATATGTGAAGCATCATTCAGCAAGTGTATGAAGCAAGATCAGTACAGCAGTCCACAGCAGCATCCATAATGGATGAGGGGACTGGTTGCAATCAACCTTTATTTCTTCTAAAAATAAATGTCCAGGTATTCACATGATCAATTTTTACCGCAAGATCGAAATACACAATGCAAGGGCAAAAGTGTCAGTTTTGACAGTTTGTCAGTGTCATTTACTGATATGCATACTGGCATGTATGGGCTGAAGCGAGCACCAAATGTGATCAATTTCAAATCACTAGTTATGCCAATCAGTGTCCCATATCTTTCTGCTTACTGATGTTGTAATTTGAACAGATGCATTTCCAGCTTCACCACTGGCTGAAGATGTGATCTGCATGATGGAGTCAGAACTACGAACCAAAAATTTTAGAATGTTTCATATGTGAATAAAGAGAAATTTCTGAATATTCCGAAAGATTCAAAATGCCACAAAGTAAGTCAGGACCCCTCTCATTCTTGTTCCATAATTGTCTTACGAGTTTAATGTAGTGTTTCTTTCTATCAGGGCATGATGAAAGCTGCGTGTTTTCTCCTGGCTTTAACTGCATTTGCCTCTGCAGTGAGTCAAAGGAAAGGAATAATCGCACAACCAACAGCAGATAGCTCTGGTGTACATGAGGGCCCAGCTTGTCCAGAAAAATGTAATTGTACAAGAATGGGTCAGAATCTGCATAATGACCTGAGAAAGGCAGTCTGTCCTATGATACCAAGTTCTCTACATAACAGCTTCAAATCACTGCAGGTACATACCTTGTGCTGATATACTCTATATCTCTTCTCTCTTTTAAGTTTCAAGTATTGCCCACAGAAATTTGGAACCAATTGCCCTCAGTCTGTGTTCTGTCCTTAGACAGACAGAGGGACAAAGTTTTACACATGTAAAAAACAAAAGGTAAAACGGTGTCTCCCACACCTTAGCTTTATAGTACTCACAGAGCAATTAATTCTTGTTATGTTCAAGAAATTTGTTGTTATGGAACACATTAGGTGACAGTGTATAATGTGTATAGTGATAAATGTCCTTAATGCACCAAGAAAGAAAGAAAGAAAGAAAGAAAGAAAGAAAGAAAGAAAGAAAGAAAGAAAGAAAGAAAGAAAGAAAGAAAGAAAGAAAGAAAGAAAGAAAGAAAGAAAGAAAGAAAGAAAGAAAGAAAGAAAGAAAGAAAGAAAGAAAGAAAGAAAGAAAGAAAGAAAGAAAGATACAAAAAGTCTTGGGTTCAGTTCTCATCACTTAACAAGGCTAAAATAATATTGTCAAGCAGTGTTTTCTCATAAAGTGCAGGGCTGCTTGGGGGTAAATGCAGCTGCACAGAAAAACTCCACAGCACTTCCTTGGATTACCTTCAAACAGCAGCGTGAAAGTGTTGTTTCCTCTAAATATCAATATATTACACCTGATGGCATCTATTGACAGAATGGTTGTGCTTGTTGATTCACATAAGCCTGATCTCTTCGACTGTTGACAGTTTTAATGTAAGTATACTGAGCCAGTGTAATTGGCCCATGGCATGTAAAAGGTTAAATAAAACAGAAGAGGATGTATAATAAATAAACGTGGGAATCTATGAAGCAATATATTTTTATTACAGGTTATAGCAAACATTGGTTATGTCACCAGAGAGCAGATATTACAGATTGGAAGGGGACCATACATACTTGATTTCAGTGAGTGCAGCATTACTGACATTGAACAAGAAGCATTTAATTCACTGACTGACCTTGTCAGTCTGAAACTTTCCAATAACATCATGAGGAAAATTAGCAGCAAAATGCTATCATCTCCTCATCTTAAAGTTCTTTATCTGGATGGGAATGATTTAGAAAAGATAGAATATGATGCATTTGATCAACTCCGAAATCTTCAGAGACTGTATCTGCAACACAACACACTCCAGGAGGTGTCTGTTGCCCTTCCAAGCTCACTCCGTGTACTAGATATCTCCCACAACAGAATTTCAGCTTTTACTGCAGACTTGAACACGGTAAGATTTAATACTATAAAATATGGGGATAACTATTATAAAATGTGTATTTCAATGTGATGTCCACATTTAGACATGTGTTTCTGATATTCATATTTTGGAAGTAGTTCTACCCTGAACACACAGTTGGCAGGTTTCTCCAAAACACAGGTATCCACTTATGAGAGAGACATATCATTATATCCCAAAAGACCACTGCTATATTTTCACAGATGTGGAAACATCAGATCTAAGGTATGATGTATGGATATTTTCAAAATGTACTGTAGACATAGCTACTCATCATTACCCTAACAGACACATCAATCATTTTAGCCTTGTATTTCATCAAAACATCCACCATACCTAAAACCATTTCAGTCAAATGTGAGATCTGAGGTTTTCACAGCCATGACTGTTAAGATTACTGTCTTTGGGATGTGACATCACATAGTCTGATGGATAGTTACCACTGTTTTGGAGGAACCTGCTGCCTCCATCTTCAGTATAGAGCATGGCATGGAAAAAAATGGTACTGCTTTATGAGGGAGGGCCAGTGCCAGGGACTGAAGCAAACCAATGGCAGTAAATAAAGAATACTGACAATTTTTCAAGAGCAGGGTGAATGGTATAAATAGGCCATGCCAGAGCTCAAGCAGTTAGCCGCTGGCTTCCCACTGTGGCGGCCCAGGTTCAATCCCGGGTTTGGTCAAGTGGGATTTGTGGTGGAAAAAGTGGTGCTGGGGCAGGTTTTCTCTGAGTACTTTGGTTTCCCATGCCAATCTTCATTCCACCAATTGCTCCACAATCACCCTCACTTATCGTCTGGGACTAGTACAATAGGCCAGAAGTGGCTGCAGTACAAGGCACTTAGTCCCACCCCACTAGCAATAATAATTAAAAAAATGGTATAAATGGGGGCCCACCCAGCCCCTAATCCAGTGGGTGGCGATTTCTTTGGGGGGCCAAAGTGACCAGGCATGATTGTGGCCACTCAACTCCATTTCCTGCAAAGGTCTAGAATATGTGGTACCTTTATATCTTAATGGCACAATGCTTTAGACAAATTTTACCTTTACCTTCTGATGTGGTTTATGTAAAGTAAAGTACAGTAAAGAAGTTTAGGTTTGCTGAGTACAGATCTTAAATCCTTATCACACATTATCACACATTTAATGTATCGGATTTTACCTCTGCCGTTCATTACAGAAGAAACATTGTATTTATATTATGGCCAGTAATACTAATCTGTTATTTCAACAGATGAACTTAAAGACCTTGAACCTATGTGGAAATCCACTCAATGGATTTCCTTCCATAACCTCATCGAGAACATTGGAAACACTCTGTCTTGAAGGCAGAGCTGCAGTGTTGCCACGTAATGCGGCTGCTAAGTTTCCTCGGCTTGCAGATGTGACATTGGTGGCACCAGCACACTCTAGCCAAGCCGAACTCGACTCCACAACACAGTCTGAACTGAGCAACTTGCAGAAACTAATTACACTCTCCATTGGTAAGATTATTCTGCACTCTATTTGTAAAGTTATTCTCTCATATAACCAAATTACATTTCCTTAGCCTTTACCACTCTTCTCAGCTCTCCAGTGTCTAGTGTTTCTCTTCTTATTTGGTATGACTGGTCTCCCCAGTGGCTTCTATTCTTGTCGTCATTTCTTATACTCTCAGAGGAATCTTATGTCATCCATGCATAACACATCCATAGCACTATATCTTACTTTTGCCATATAAATAACATTAGACATGAATCTCATACTTTCTCTTTATCAGCAAGGTAATAGAAAGCGAACAAAAAGCAATCAAGATTAAAGTCTTCTTGCATATAATGCCTTGTAGTTTGATAGACAGCTACCACCACTTCAGAGGAACGTGTTGTCTCCATCTTCAGGATAGATGCCTCTAAAACTCTGGTACCTACTCGTATCTACTAAACTATACAGCATCATATCCCAGAATGCCATAACCTTGATATGCCATGAGAATATCAAATACAAGAAAAAAAATGTGTTTTGTGAGTATATTAAAAACATACAGAACACATAAAACCCATAGCTGAAACATAATCATTAAATGGCTTAAAAGTCAATAAATGAGCTAATCTGAAACAATTTTGTTTTCCTTTTTAGTCAATTATCATCTTCAAAATCTGTCATTCCTTACTGGTATGAGAAACTTAGCTGAACTGAAGCTACAGAACATCACACTAGAATCATATGATGGCATTGATACAGTACTTAAGAGTCTACAGATACTGTCAAATCTTAGCATAGACCAAAGTACAAAACTTGTCAAGCCAATCCTTAATGATACACAGTTGGTGTCCCAGTTAACAAGACTCCGTTTCTTGAGTCTGAGATACACAGGGCTTGTAACCCTCACAGAACAGAATGTCCCAGAAGATACTTGGCTTGATATCAGTCACAATCCTCTGCGCTGTGACTGCCATCTTGCATGGGTACTGCATAAAGAGAGAGAGACTCTTGGTAGGTTCCTGTTCTCCAAGGAACAAACAACTTGCGCAACACCAAACAATGTCAGAGGACATATGATACTGGAAAGTGTGAATATGACATGCTCTGATCAGCAGACAAGTGGAATATTGGAACAAACTTTCAACACCTCCAACTGGATGTACACTTCTGATGATGACACATGGAATATTCCAACCTGCATCAGAAGCACCTCCACAGAGGTACCAATAAACGACCGGTTAACAAATACTTCCACTGCCTCCAACAGCACAGACAATTATACATCCAGTGATAAGACTACAGTATATATTGCTCTTGGCACTGCCCTGCTGATCTTCATAATTGTAGGAACTGCCCTAGCTGTAATTTTCTCTCTTATGAAAAAGAAAAGGAAATGCCAAATTTCTCCTGTTGGAGGTGAAACTCCAATGGAACAACAGCCACAACAGGAGCAAATGAAGCAAGCTTCATCAAAAGATATGTTAATAAAAAAGTAATTGAGAACTGCAGTGTTAACAGTCTAGCTGGTTACAGCCTTTGTGATAAATCTTCAATATGAGTATATAATATATTCATAATTTATTACTAACCAACTAATACAGTACCTCTTACAGTTATCTCCTATATTCTAACTATTATTTTTACTGTATTAATGTAAAGACTAACAGTAAATTATCCATCTGTGAGTTATTTACTGGCACTTGAAGTAGCTAGACTATATAGTGTCTAACAGAAGGATAGATGAATGATAATTTTGAAAGGATTTAATTTGAAAGGAAGCAGTCACGTCCTAATTGAGGTACCATCCTAGCATTTCATTGGAGGGACTGAGGAAAACAAAAACTTCAATCAATATAGCCAATGTCCAGGCAAAGATATGAACCTAGCACCTCCTGAATATGAGTCATGAGTGTTACTGCAATGCCAACATAAGGTATTAGACGTTTAAGAAAACTTCTCTTATATGTTGAATTATGAAATATTTTCAGAAAGCTTAAAATTAAATGTTACTGTACAACAAAAGCAAAGAAAGGATGATAAATTAGCTTATAATAAAAAACACTTTGTTGTTGTGTGACCAGCCAAGGGTCAGTCAGTGAAGAAGGCCCCAGTTTAAAGACTAACAATGTGATAATGTGCTGCCTGGTCAGAGGTATCCCTCACCTTGATCTGTATGAACAGTGGAAATAATTAGCAGGGAGAAAAACTTGCCCCAGTGCCACTTCATCCACCATAAAGCTCACATGAAGCCATCCAAGATTGTACCCAGCATCAGTAAGAAGCCAGTATCTAACTCTCTTAATAGCAGTTTATTATTATTATTATTATTATTATTATTTAATGACCCTGTCACTATCGACTGTAAAGGATCAACAGTAGGATGATGATGAATGTGGAGCCATTGGTGGAATAAGAATTATAAGGGAAATCAAAAAGACTTGGAGAAAATCCACCCCCCACTGCCACTCTGCCCATTACAGATCTCACATGATGTGACCTGGGATGAAACCTAGGCCACCATAGTGCAAACCAGCTACTATATTAACTTATACTTTATATTAGAAGGAATATTTTTCACATGAAAGTGAATGCACTCTTCTGATGGCAAAAGAATGAGATTGTTGGTGAAGGTAGAATTAATATTTGTCTGTGTATAAAAGAAATTTCCCTTAATATGATGGCTCATACATCATACTATCACAGTTTCTAACAAAAAAACTTTTAATTGTAAGTTGTAATGATTTTGAAATAATTTCAATAAAGTTTAACATAAAATGTTTCTATGAAAATGAAAAGTATAACTAATGAGATTTCAGCTCACCATGATTAATTTACATAAAATTGAATCTGTGTTAATTTATTCAAATATATTCTTTGTAACTGAAACTTGCTTTGTCATCTCTTAACTGTTTCTTTATAAAGGTACAGTCTTGCAAGGAGTATGATTAAGTGTGCATGCACACACTACAAGTTAATATGTATTATTCCCAGTTTGTTTATTATAATAGTTTACTACAGCTATTGCTGAAGCAAGAAACAGCAAGCTATAAAAATCCCAATTTGTGCAGCTGGCCCAATGCTCATCTTCTTAAATAATCTTTTTTTTTTCTTGGATTTGTTTTGGGTCATTTCTATATGTCTTTCAGCCACAGACAATGCAAACAATGAAATGCAGTTGTGATACAGAAGTGCTTAATTCTTTAAAAAGTTCTATCCTTTCACAAGTGACATCATGCAACATAGTAGAAGTTTACCAGTGTTTCGTAAGAATGTAGTGCCTCTATTTTTCAGGATTGAAGAATAAGCCAAGTAAGCAATGAGCAATCTCTGGCTGCTCGTTTAGCTTAATCTTCAAACCCGCAGATAAAAATAATACATTCCTGCAAAATATCAGTATACTTCTACATGGTGTCATATTCAGATCCCAGCACTCCATACTCACCACCAGAACCTCAAATCTCACACAATTAATTTTTCTTTCAGGACCGTATCTTGTGATTATAATGGAGTTTTACTGTATTGTACAATTTATTCTCAAGTATTTTATCCTTCAGTGTTGTCTAATATCCTCTTGCAGTATGTCTTACTGGCAGTGCAAACACTATAAAATCTATTGTTCACGTAACATCTTTATTTGTTAATGACAATGGATGTTTCAGATTCGCAATCTCTCTATAGAAGCATTCCATGGTTCCTGTTTAATGTAACATTTGGAAGGAAGGGAATTTCCTTTAGATATAATGTACTGCAGGCAATTCAGTGGTGAAGAGTACAGTCTTCTGGGTTGCAATATGCTATCATTCAGAGAAAGCTCAGCTTGCAGCCTGGTGCTTCTGGTTTTTTGCTTGCCTTACTCTTCAACCTGAGGATGGAGAAGATATGATCCACTGAAACATATGGTTGTCTCCAAAATACACAGCATTACAACGCAGAAGACTGTACTCTTCGTAGTTACCAAGCGAAATATTGCCTATTTTGGGGTTTTCACAAATTAGTATGATCTGCTCATGTAAGCTTCATGCCTGCAAGTAACTCTGGTTGGTTACTTATGAAATGCCGACAACTCATAACTCTGGTTACTTGCTTATGAAATGCAGACAACTCATGCCTTCCAGTGAGCACCTGCTTACAATAAAATACATAACAGATTTTCGTTGTCATGCCAACTTCAGGCGGTAACAAAATCAAAAGAAGATGTTGTACAATACTGTTGATAACACTAGTGAGGTGGTTATAGTTGTGATTTTCTAAGATGGCATATGGCAGTCTCAGTGAAGGGTGCCCACTGAACCTGAAGAAATCATGACAAGTTACCCTCAAATTGTTGATTTACTTTCTCTTAATCAATTAGTCCACAGGATGATTACATTTTAGTGGGATGTAAATAAATATGTTCTCTTGCTTCCTTATGCCGAAAAGGTTAAGGTCAATTACTTTCTGCAAGAGCTTAGGGACAGAAAGTGAAATCTGCACTATGCAGATGAACTTCCATGTATTTCGCTTGAGCTGTCAGAATTAGCGCGAAAAGTGAACCCCACGGCCATTCTTGAGAATGGGCATATCATCCTCTCTGCATACTATTACATGCACCATTCTCGGAGAAAGGTATAAAAATATTCGGGCATGCCGCTGTAAATATACATTAAATCTGTATCACATTTAGGCATTGGAAGAATAATAAATATTGAAAGTTTGTCTATATCATTATTAAGACGAGAAAAAAAAATAGTTTTACATAGTTTTACTAGTGGTTGAAATGGATCCCGACCTGCAGAATCGTGAACCCCTCAAAAGACTATAATATCCATGTATCGCCCACTGGTGTGCATTTAAAGCCAATTTATTTGCAGACAATCTGTAAGAAGTTGGGAAAGAGGTTACGTCATGTACCAACCTTTCGTTGTAGTAGCTGTATTTCCCACTCCAAAACCAAATGGGGGTACTGCGGATGACGATACTGGTGGAAAAGCTGGCGTAGATCCCAAATTAAAAGCCATACTCTATATTAGTGTACCTCAAACTAAATACGTATAATGGAAAATTACCACATTAACCCACTCTCTTGTTAAAACTAGTCACACTTTTCAATCACCAGTGTGACCACTATAGACAATGCAGTTTCCCTATATGTACATATGACCTCCATCCTCACGGTCCAATAATCCGAGCAAGATACCAATGTGGAATATTCCCCCGAAACGTCGGTTGCCTTTCAACGGACTATGTGGCTTTATATCGCAGAAGACAGTACTCTTCATGAATAATTTAGTTTAGGAAAAAAGACGACCACTGTGAAATAACTCGACAGAAAGCCAACCGATGAACATATTAGTAAACATATGCTTGTCATGCAAAGGTGTCCTGTAAAGCGAAGCAAACGTATCAAACACAAATACAAAATAATAGAATTAACTGAAGATGACCATAATTTTGTTCATTTTCCACCATCTTGATATCTTTAAAAAGTAATGTTGCGGTAAGAAATTCATATCGACGGTGAGTATACCAAACAAATAGTCTTATTGATCGTTACACGCAAGCTTCAGAAGCAGATAATTAAAGTTTCCGAAAGAGATCCTTATTCAGATTTTCGTACTAACATCTTTTACATCGAGGACTTCTGTAACTTACGCCGTGACTTTTTTTTTCTATGGGTTGCTACATACCTTGGTGGATAGAGCTAGCAACTAGTTCCTGGAATTTGTTGTTGGGTTGGTAACGTGTGTACGCGTGTGTACGACCTGTTTACTGAAGTCAGCTGTGTGTAGTCGTAGAAGTAGAATGATGGTGCGAAATGATGCACGTAATTCGACAAATTAATTGTTCATTACTACGGACAGGTACAGCATCAGATCGAATTTATACAAATATATAAGTGTATTAGCACTTTGGATACAAGTAATTTTGTAAAGATATTGAGCGTAAGAAGTAGTAGTAATACGCTGGAATATTGTCTTTTCATTAATGACCCATAGTTGATGATAGAATGTGTGTTTTTCATTTTAGGTATTGGTTTTCCACTGAAGACGAGTTGCTCTTGTTCCACCAAAACCACTACAATCAAAGCTCCAAAGGCATCAAGACAATGGCAAGTGAAGGCAGTGAAGCAGGGGCAGCCTACTCATGCAACACATCCACATCTCTTGCAGGAGGGAGAGGTATTATTCCCTCCGTTATTTCTGTAGTGATCATGGCAGTTTGTTTGCTGTATTAAAAGTGTTACCAGAATCCAGGCACCAAAATGGTCATTGATAATACAGTCGGCCATTGCAACAAAATAACATTTTACGTGATATGCAAAAATTAATATGTCCTCTACTGATTTTATAAGTAGGATGAGTTACAACTGAAATATACTGTATTGGAGAATACAGAGTTCCTGAATGTTAAAACTGGTGGTACATATAGTAACTTTTACACCTGATAGGTTGAAACAAACAAGGGAACAAAATTGAGTACATCTTCTTGTTCATAATTCATATTGATGTTTCAGCTTTTACCAGGAGTGAGACAGGACGAATTTCGAGAGAGAAGATTTCGACTTATGGAGGGGATTCACAGACATGCTTCAAAACATGATAACAGTTTGAAACAGCACCTGGTAGTCATACCATCAGCTACAAAAGTCTACATGACAGAGAAGATTCCATACATCTTCCGTCAGAATACAGACTTTCTCTATTTGAGTGGGTGCCTTGAACCAGATAATGCCCTTGTGTTGACTGGGACTAGAGGAGATGACCATGTATCAACACTGTTCGTACGCAAACATGATATGCATTCTGAACTGTGGGATGGACCACGCACTGGAGTGGAAGGTGCACCTACATTGTTTGGTGTTGACCAGGCTTACGCATTGACTGATCTTGAGCCGTTTATCGCTTCCTTTACACGAAGTCATCGAAGCTTCATCCTGTGGTATGACTTTATGAATCCGCTTCAGCCAGATGTGCATAGAACGTTGCGTGAATTTTTAGGAGATGCGTGGAATAAGGTATGTATATTTGGATTTGCTGTGTTATATTTCATAACATGGAATCCCCTTCAGAGTAAAACAGACACAAAGCAGCAGTTGCAACATATTATCAGTCCATAACCTTTTGAAGATTACTGTCATCTGGAATTCATTCATTCATTTCCTTTATTTACCATATATCCATACAGGTAACAATCCTAGGATGTGGAAATGGTCCCTTTGATGATATAAAAACCTCTTCAATGCAGATTTAAAACTTCTCACATCAGTAGCCAACATTTTTATTGTTTGAGGAAGATGATTAAAAACTTTAATACCTGTTATGTATGCACCTTTATTATATTTTGTTAGGTTAACTGCAGGTAAATATGAATGACATAATGTAGTTAGATTATTACAAACGTTTGAAGTAAACCTGCTGAGTTTATCTTCTGCTCTGAAGATGGAGGCAGCACATTTCTCTAAAACATTGGTGATGATCTACCAGACCACATGACGACACATCCCAGAAGATGTTACTCTTTTCAGTTGCTGCTGTGAGAATGTCAAATCTCACCAAATTCTTGATTTGTTAAGATTTCTTCCTATCTGCAGGCCTTAGTGGGTGAGGTGAGTTGTCATAAGTGGAGTTGCCGTGATTTTCATCTCAGGTCATCAATTGAACTTGTGCGCCGATCCCTTGGTTTCCGTGTAGATGTGGGAGTCCCCGAAGCCATTCATCCATCAGCTTCGTCTGTACAAGTCCCCAGCTGAAGTGGCTCTCATGAAGGATTCATGCAGGATTGCAAGTGATGCTATTGCTGCTACGATTGCATCTTCATATCCTGGCGTAACTGAGCACCAGCTGTTCGCACGTGTGGACTACGAGTGCCGGATGAGAGGGGCTGAGTACCTGGCGTATCCACCAGTTGTTGCTGGTGGAGATCGTGCCAACATCATCCACTACATAAGCAACAATCAAGTCGTGACTGAGGGCGAGATGGTTCTCATGGATGCTGGTTGGTTCCGTCATGCATTTTATAAGAAACATTCTGATAAAATTTGGAGTTGAAAATTTTCCAGTAATTTAAAACAGGAAAGAAATGTCCCATCATTGGTTGTTTGTCTGTTTCCTCCCTCTGCTCTCTGTCCCATTCACCAGTTTTTCAATTCTTGCTGTGGTGTGTGGTACATGAGTATATGCATATTTTAAGTTGTAATTTTCATGTAGTAAATATTTACACAATGATCTCTGTTACTCTTTAGTTTATCCTGTGTCTTTTACATAAGCTATAGATATTGTCACATAGTATGAGTGGCTGTAGACAGGGTTTTGGATAATTGGATTTATTGACCACTTACAAGTAACTACAAATAACTATAACACTGTCACTATTTCCACACTGTACAAAATCACACTCAGTTTTTCCAGTCCACTGTTTCTTCACTAGTTGTTGCCTGGTAACGGCTTTTAGCAGTGGCTAGTCCTCTGCTTCTGGGCTCAAGTCCTCTCTAAACAGCAGCTCCCTTCCAACTGAACTATTCTTGCTTCAGTTGTCTTCCTTATAACCCCTTTGCATGAACCAAGTAGAAAACACTGTTTTCAACAGTACCTCCAATGTTGCATGTGTATGCGTTGCCATGGGAACATGTTTACCGAGCCGTTGTCTACAAACAGCTCTGCTATATTTGCTTAGCTCACAGTTGTTGCATAGTAACGGCTCTACACACTACAATATATTCTGTTAAATATTGTACATTAACCGAGGTATGTTTTGACATATATAGCATTTGGACATTGGATGCTGTTTTTTGCGATCATATTGTTATACTAACAGCATTTTTTTGTTTTGCTTTATTGTGACAATAACCAGAATTGAACACAGGACACTTTGCTGACTTAATACAGGGTGTCCCAGGAGGAATGGACCAAACTTTGGGAAGGTGTTCCTTATGTTAAAGTATGCCGATATAACCCAAAACAGCTATGTCCAAAGTTGAACGGTTACGGAGATAATGGCCAGAGAAGTGTCAAACTTTGACCGGTGTTACACACTTGTTGATTACAAAATA